CCAGTCATGCTGGCTCATCAGGAGCTCCCTGTTGTCCCATCTCCAGCCCATCAAGCTATATTTTTCCCCAGCATCTCCTCTCCCAGGGTGTGCTCTGCATGGATGTTGTTCCTTCTGGGATAGAACTCTTGCAACAGTTGCTTCATAGCAAAGTCCACTGGCTCAGAGGAAAAACTACTGTTTGCTGATACAGGTGAGGTGAAGCACTTTGCTGGAGCAACCTGGGACATTGCTGAGTCTGCAGGGGAAAACATTTTTACCTGCATCTTCTCCCAAGGCAGGAGAAGTTCCTGGGTGTTGCAGCAACAAGAGCAGTTGGGACCCAATGGTCCCCTGGACACCAGGATGACTGTGTCCTTCCCTGGTACAGCAGTGGGAGCGAGAGAGCTTTTTACAGGGATTTTGGCATCTCACTGAAAGGGCAGCAGGTCTTTTTTAGTTCATAGGGGGTGAGGGATGTACTGGGGCTCAGGGCACTGCTGTTTTGGTGTTTGGATGCCTCAACCAGTCTTCCTGCCCTCTGAAAAACCAGTTAAGGTCAAATGAGAGGCCTCAGCTGGTTTCTTGTTGTCCTGTCTGGATAAGCCATCTGCTAATGGCATGGGCTTGTCCTCTGGAAACCTGATAGCTGCTGCTGAGCAGCGCTGATGGCAGGCGAGGGGGATGCAATAACCTCAGTGCTGCATCTCTGAGCAGAGACGTTCAATTCCCTGCTCCTCTGTCTGCTTTAGTCCTGTCGATTAAGGGAAAGCTCGTGGGGTTGAGAGGTTGAGCTGTCGTTACTCTGAGAACCAATGCTAATGTGAGACACACAGCTATTCCCTCTGGAATCTGTTCCTCATCGCTTGGGGTGACCGCTTGGCTTCTCGTGGAGGGGATACAAAGGGCAGGACGCCACGGTTTGTGTTCGTCATGGGGGCAGCACACACATCCTAAGAGCCACCGTGATTTCTACGGTCCAACCAGTCCCAGCTCGGGTGGTACCGTGTGCCCCATTCCTGCCCCAGCCCCCCAGGACGCAGGGATGGTTTGTGCAGGGATGGTTTGTGCGGGGATGGGGCTGTGCGGGGATGGGGCTGTGCGGGGATAGTTTGTGTAGGGATGGGGCTGTGCGGGGATAGTTTGTGTAGGGATGGGGCTGTGCGGGGATAGTTTGTGTAGGGATGGGGCTGTGCGGGGATAGTTTGTGTAGGGATGGGGCTGTGCGGGGACGAACACGGGGCTCGCCCGCAGCGTGGGGCAGGCGGAAGGGGCTCGCTGAGCAGCGAAGGGCAGGCGAGGGCTCCAGGCTGGGAGGTGCTGAGGGCTCTGGCCCCCGTCCAGAGAAGCACTTAGTGCTCGCTCCCCCTCACCGGGGAGTTCTGGTCGGGCTGTTCTTGCCGAGCGGTGTTGGGTTGCAGAGCCGGGTGGGAGCCGAGCACAGTGGGCAGGGCTGCCCGGAGAAGGGGGACTGGGATCCTGCTCCAGGCTCCCGCAGCTCCTAATACCCACTGCTGCCTGAATGTGCGTTTCGGGGGGACTTCCACTGCAATATTAAGAGGGATAAGGTGCTACTTTATTCTTCATGCTTTTGCATAATAGGTTTTTCTTATTTTTTACTCACATGCACATATGTGTCTTTCCTCTTTCTCCCCGGGGGCCTGACCTCCCAGTGCCCCTTCCAGTGATGGGAAGCCCTGGTTGTGCTCAGTGGGATCCACAATGTTAAATAGCAGGAAGACTCTTTTTTTAACCTCTTTTTCTTTGCCAGAATGAGTAGGCTGGAGGCTTTTCCGCTGCCCTGGGGCAGGATCAGACCATGTCAGCCCGCTGAGGTCAGGCTGGGCTGGCAGTGACCATGTGGCTGTCACATACACCCAGCAATACCTGTTGAGGGGATGGGTGTTTGCTTGGAGGCTGTCCCCAGTAAACCCCTCCTGGAAGGTAATCTGGCTAAGTTTCCTTTTTGACAACTTTTTCTTTAAATGTTTTTATTTAATCAGTTTTACATCTTTCCAAAAATCCTCCGGAGGTGGTGATTTTGCAACCCTCAGAGCCTGTTCCAGGGTGTCCTTATCCTTACATGTTACAACACCCTATCCATCAGCGGGTAAATGAGGCTTGGATGAAGTTTCAGTTTTAAATGACTTAAAGGGTGGATCTGGTTTTCATGTAACCAGAGGGTAATTTGGTGGGGTTTTTTTCTTACATGGCGAGGGAGGTGGATCTGGGGTCAGCTTTTTCTTTCTGATGCAACCCTCTCCCACTAAAAGGAAGTCTCTTTGCCCAGAAATGTGACTGTCCCTTTTTTTTTAGTGCTGGAGGCAAGGAGAGGGCCAGGCTGTTTCTGCTGGCAGTGGGCTGGGGGGATGTTTGAGAGGCTGTTGTACAGAGCCTGGTTGTAGAGCTACAGCACAGCTCAGTGTGCAGCGTGGAACCGTGTGGGGAGCTCAGGCCATCTCGTGGGTTCCGCTGCCTCCTTCCTGGAGCTGCTCCTGCCTCCAGCCTGGGAGGGCTGGAGGACAGCCAGCTCACTCCAGCCCTCCCATCTCATCAGCTGCTCCTCTGTCCCTGCTTGCTGCTGGTTCCTACTCTGGGACATCCAGCCCTGCCAGGCTGCAGCAAGTTCATATTCCCTCAGAGAGCTTCCCTTTGCCACTGCCATTGCTGTGGGACCAAGTTCTTCCTCTCTTGCCATGTCCTGTATGGGATGAAGACATGTTAGTATCTTCTGTCTCCCACAACATGCTCTGGGAGAGAGCAGCTTGGGAAGGAGGAGATGTTGCTGACCTTGGTGACAAGGGACTTGTCTTTGGGTGGATCATCCCAGATTACCTGCCCTTGTTCCCCTTCCCAGGCATTGTGTGGCCTGTGGGGCTGGAGCCCCATCTGATGCTCATCCCCATGTCTTTGACTACATCCTTAGTGGGCCTTTCCCAGCAAGGACCCGAGGTGCAGAGCCATGGTGGGACACGTGGGCCGTGTCACGGAGCCCACCCACCCCTCACTGGGGAGCTCGTGGTGCTGAGGGTGCACCTCTGCGACCTGGGCTATAGAGAGTGCCTCCAGCCCTCCTTCCCCTCTGCACAGGGGCTCCCGGTCCTGTGCTGGCAGAGGGAGGACCTGCAGCAGGATGGAGGCTGGGACCAGTGCAGGGAAACATCATTTCAGCATGTGCTTGTTGGGGATGGTGGCATTTGTGCTTGCTGTGCTTCCTGCTCAGAGTCACTTCCTTACACACTGCCAGGGGGCCGGGAAGGTGTTTGAGTCAGTGCTGCTCTGTGGTGAGAAGAGGGCTGCACAAACCAAACCTGAACCACCTTCCCCCAGCACACACAGGCATGTCTGGTAGGACGAGAGAGATGAACAAGCAGCTGCAGGCGTGCGTGGGCTGCAGGTTTCTGCCCCGCTCCCTCCGAGTGCATGATCCCTGCGGAGGCTGCCCTTCGCCCCAGGAATTCCCTGCGTGCTTCTGTCCTTGATAAGCACCTCACTTGCTCCAGGGCTCTCTCCATTGGGTGGATTTTAGGTATGCACTTTGTAATAACAGCTTTGTCTTACTTACTAACCCGCTGGTGCTCCGTGCACTGAGGTGAGCACAGAGCATGGCACCTTCCTCCATTTGAGTTATTCCCTGGTAAACTACCATGAAAACCCATCTGCCAGTTCCTTCCCATTGCATTGGTCAAGCCCTGTATCCTCTAAAGATAGGATTAGCCTTCAGTCCCACTGTGCATGTCCTGGATACAAAGACCTGGACAGCGATAGGGGTTTTTAAGGGCTGAAATAACCTGCTGGGAGCATAAGGACGTGAACAGAGGCAGGTTATGGCAGGGCATCCTAATGTTTGAGTTTTCAGCCTGCTCCTCTCCAAAGGGTAGGTGATTCCTTAAAAAGTTCCACCCTTGCTTATTTTAGGAAGCTTGTCTGTCCTCCATTTGCAGCCCCAAGGAACTGCTCTTGTCATGAGCTGGCGAGCTTTGGAGGGTTGTTAGATTCATAGAATATCCTGAGTTGGAAGGGACCCACAAGGATCAAGTTCAGCTCCTGGGTCTGCACAGGACACCCCCAAAATCTATCAGTGTTCAGTCTAGATATGTCCTGTGTCAGGCAATGAGCAGGCTGCCATCATCTCCAGATGCACACCCACACTGCTGTGCACTCCTGCCAAGAGAGGATCCCATGTTCCTCGTGCCTTATAAGTCCTCCCAGAGTCAATTCCTGTGTCTGCCTTGCTGTGGGGTTTGGAGAGAGCATCATCTCTCATGATGCAGTTTAGTGCTGTCGTGGCTGCTGCGGGTGATGAGCTGGTCACATTTCTGCCTAGTTTTAAACTGCAGGAAATTGAAATGAAAGGCGAGTCGATCCACAGTGAGTGCAGTAAGTGGAGTTTAATTGGGATGAATTACATGCCAGGTTTGCAGTAATCTCCGTCTCACATTGCTCAGAAGCATCATCTGCTTTGGAAACGTGACTCAGAAATGTTGTTATTTGATTCCCACGAGCATTTAAGAAACTATTTTTCCAGGAAGCAAAGGTTTTTGGGTTTGGATTGGGTTTGGCTTTTTTTTTTTTGGTTTTTTTTTGCCTCCTTGCTGCTGTTGTTTTCTCTTTGTTCTCTGGCAATGTGAGTCCTTTCCCAGAATTTCCTCTGGGGAGGGAGGCTGTGAAATGCTCCCTTACCAGTGTCTCTTCAGCTCCTTCTCCTTGCTTGGCTTTAGCGCTCCAGGCATTAACAGCTGCCCCTTGCTGGGGATCCCCGTGAGGGAGACATGCAGCCATTTTTGGGGAACACAGAGGCAAATAGGGGGGTGGTGGCTGGGGAAACTTCCTTGGGAAGCGGTAGGAAGGGGCTGTGCTTACCCATGAGTAGCAAGGGAGATGTGCAAGGTGAGTGGGAAGATCTCCGTGCTGCTTTGGAAGGTTGAGGAGCAAGCTGGGGCTCCTGAAGACCACTTTTATCTTTCATGGGAATTTCAAGCTGTTTGCTGAACTCCTCTTTCGTTTTCCCTTTCTCACAGTGGATATTCGTGAAATCAAAGAGATTCGTCCAGGAAAAAACTCGCGTGACTTTGACCGGTACCAGGAGGATCCGTGTTTCCGACCAGACCAGTCTCACTGCTTCGTGGTCCTCTATGGCACAGAATTCCGGCTGAAGACCCTCAGCCTCCAAGGTAAAGCACTTGTGGCCCCAGGGTCGTGCCAGGACAGGGTTGGTCGGGCGCCTCAGCACCACCAGACCCAACAGCTTTAGTGCCTGGGGACAGAGATAACCCATCCTTGGGAACTGAAGGAGGATGGAGCGTGATGTGCAGGGGCAAGAGGTCCAGCCAGCCATGTACATCCCATGGGAGGGGAGCAGGAGCTTGGCAGGGATTGGAGCTGGCCAGAGCATCTGCATGGCAGGGAAATGTTATCAGAAAGGGGATAAAGGAAGGAATAGGGAATATAAGGTGCTGAGGATATTCCCAAGAGGTTTGTGTTGGTGATCAGCCTGTGTGTCCCTTCTCCCACTTCTCCTTTGCACTTTCCACAGCTACTTCTGAGGATGAGGTCAATATGTGGATCAAGGGGCTGAACTGGCTGGTGGCAGACACTCTGAGGGCACCCACCCCCCTGCAGATTGAAAGGTGAGGAAAGCCTGTCCTTGTCCTGCTCTTGTTTTCTTTTTTCCCTTTTCTGTCTGTTTTGACAGAGAAAGGTGAGCACGGTGACATCTCATTCCCTCTCTGAGCCGCGCTGACCTGATGCTTCTGCCTCTGCACTCGAGAGGCTTCATCCTGTTGATCCCAGAGTTTGATCTCACGTTTGTCAGGGAAAAGGAGCTTTACCATGAAACTGATGTTTGGTGTGAGCAGCCTGTATTATCTGTAGCAGTTCAGTGCAGAGGCACGTGGAACAGAACCCCTTTGGTTTTTGTCTTATCTGTGGGCTCACTTTCAGGCAGAGACATTTTTAAAGGGGGGCAGGTTGCTCGCATGGAAACAGGGTTGGCTGCCTCTGGAAGGGAGTGGAGCCAGGTTCTCTGGTGGGAAGGAGGGCTGTGGGAATGGATGGTGTGGCATTGAGCACCTTCCAGAGACAGCAGCAAACCACCCAGGCTGGCTGTTGGGGAGCTGTGGCTCAGTGTGTGCCTGTTTGTGCCTTCCTGCTCAGGTGGCTCCGGAAGCAGTTCTACTCGCTGGATCGCAACCGGGAAGACAGGTAAGGAGAGAGGAACTTGTAACCACCTTCGTGGAAGGGTTTAAGCTGGAAGAGTTTGACTTCGACTTAAAACCCCAGCCTTTGGTTGGATTTTTTGTTGGGTTCTTTAGGCTTTTAATATTCATATCCAAGGAACCTTAATCCAAGTCCCGTTACTTCCCCGGCTGACCTTCACTGAATTAAAAAAACATAAAAGAGCTGTCTTGTTTCCCTGACCTATTTCCCAGCTTTTTAGACTCAGTAACACCTTGAGAGCCCAGAGCTGTGAAATGCCTTCCCCCCAGCTTCCCAAGGAAGCAGACATCAAAGAGCCAAGAGGCAGTTTGGGGCACCCCATGAGGACTGAACTTGGTTGGGCTTATTACCCTACAACCTGTTTGTTTTATTCTCCTTCTCTGAGGTCCATGAGGCCACGGATCATCCCACTGCTAGGCTGGTGGGCTGCAGCAGGGCCACTGCTTGGGGGGTTCTTGGGTGAATGCTTAGTGATGTCCTAGCAGGTAAAATGTCATGCTTGAACCTGCCATGAGGAGATAAGGGAGGAGAATTGGGTCATGATTCATCACGAGGAGATAAGGGAAGGGACATTTCCCTGTCAGGGAGGTGAGTTCCATGCCAGTTTTCCTGTCCACATGCTGGCTGCCAGCCTCCTCTTCCCGAGGTGCTGTTATTTTTCTCCTTTCATCCCTGGGACAGGCTTTTCCCCTGTGATGTTTACTGAGCACATTAACCTTTCAGCATTGATTTCTGTGTTAATGTGCTCCCCTGGGGCAGGGAGATTCCTCCAGTCCTGCTCCGGAGAGGGCAGTGCTGGAGACATCACTCACACACAGCTCCTGCCCCGGGCTGTGGTGGAGCACGTGGGTCCCACCTGCCCTCTTTCCATGCCCTGGGCATCGGGCAGATCCCTGGGCTCTGGAGCATCCTCTGCTTTGTCCTTGCTGTGTCCCTTCCAGGACAGCCAGACAGCCCTGCTGCCAGGCTGCCAGGGGTTAAATCCAGCCTGTCCAGGAGCAGAGCAGGAGTGTGTTGCCTGGGGAAAATCCCACTGCACTGGACATTTTTGCCTTTGCAGTGATTTATCCTGTGGCGTGACGAGAGCACCGCTGGGTGCACAGGGATTTAGCGGAGGAGGGATAAATCCTTGCAGAGGCAGAAAGGGAAGGAGAGGAGCTTTAATCTGTTGCAGCTGCTCTGCATATGCCACACACCTTTCCGGTCCAGGCTGGGGTTGTATATGCAGTGCACTGTATTTCAGTGGTGACAGGGCACGGTATTTCCTAATCCAGCTATGGAGAGCACTGGGGCAGGTGCAGGGGTGTCTGCATGGGGGGTTTGGAGGATGAGAACAGGAAAAATGGAAGTACTCAGACCTCCTTCTCCTCTGTTTATGCAGTAAAACTGATGAAATGGCATCCCAACAGGACAAACAGAGATTGCGTGTCCAGATCCATCTGCCCGAGGCAGAGCCGACAGCCAGCCTGTTGCATCTCTCTTGTTTTTCAGAATATCATCTTTCTATTGGAATTTAGAATTAAGGCAGCAAAATCCAATATATTCCTTACCTGTCAACCATGGGGAGAGCTTTCAGTGCAAAACGGTTAATTAGGAGAGCTGCTGCTCCAGCCCAGGCAGCAAGAGGAGCAAAACAGCAACACAGGGGGAATGCAGAAAGATTTGGGGTCTTCCCATATTACAAACATTCTACAAGCATCCATGTGTCTTCTGCAAGGTAAAGGCAGCAGTTATGGAACATACACGTCTCTTGGATTAAATCTTTGCCCTTATGAGGCATTTCAGCATTAAATTTAGTGTTGCTGAGCATTTTGCTTTTGCTTCTCAGCCTGGAAATGGGTTTTCAAAGGGAACACTGAGATGTGGGGGGAGGTTTTTTTGTTGCTTTTTTTTTTTGTTTATTTGTTTATTTGTTTTTATTTACAAAAAACCACTTCTTTTGCAAACCATCCTTGATCCTTTCCAGAACAGGCAGATTTTTGGCAGCTGAAGAAATCATTCCCAGCCCTGGTGTGCCCCGTGCCCCAGCCTCCTGTGCCGGAGCCTTTCCCTCTCCTTTCCGCCCTCCCGGCTGGTGCCGGGACATCCCTTCCAGCACGCCGGCAGATGTTGGCTGTTTTCACTGGCTGCTGGGCCTTTGGGTATTTGTTTTTCCAAGGGAGGTTAGGTGGAAAGAGGAGGATAACAGGATGCTGGGGTTTTTTTCCTAACTGCTGCCAAAGAGGCTGTTTCACCTCTGGCCAGGAGAGCTGCCCATGGCTGGGAGCAGTGTTACAGCACTGGGGGCTGGCAGGGGAATGTTTCCATCCCCTGTGAGAGGACTGAATCGGTCCTTTGGCCTGTTTGTCATGAAACCTTAGAAAACTTCCGTAGAAAAAATTAGTTTGTTTATTTGGTTTTTACTTTCTAGTCTGAAAATACTACTGAGCTGTTTATCCAAGGTCTCCAGCACTTTAACATGATTAATAACACACGGTAAATAAAATCCTTCCATACCCTGTCCTCCTTCCGAAGCTGAGAGGAAAATGTTGGTCACAGCTTTGACAGGGCTTGCTCTTGTCACATCAACGAGCAGTGCCTTGGTCCAGCATATGCTGTGAGGCAGCTCAGCATCACCAGAGCCTGAGTGCTGGCTCCAGCGGGTCTCCAGCCCGATTCCTACTGCTGGTCCTGCTGTTCCAGCCCCTCCTGCTCTTTTTCCATGAGCTTTTTTGCAGTGCCAGGCTCTCACCGAGGAGAGATTGCTGTTGGATGGCCGTGGGGACTCTGGGTGTCCTGTCAGGGGTCCCATGGCAGCTGTTACATGCTGTGGTCCTTGACATGAGAGGGCATCTCTCACTGCACTCCTGGCTCAGTTCCCTGTCACCTGGGACCCCACGACTGGGACCCCCTGCCCTTGGGATCACACAGCACCCTGCACATGGCCATGGATGCTGGGTGTGCTGGAGGGGGCAAGGGCAGACTCCCCTCCCCAGGACACTCCCCCTGAGCCCCCGGGGTAACTTCACCTGCTGGGGCAGGGGGAGGTGCAGGGGAGAGAGCAGAGCTGCTGCCCATGCTGAGTGTGTGTCGCTGGCTGTGCAGCCTGTACAGCTGGGTCAGAAGGAGAGGCTGGGGCCATGTGTCAGCTTCTTTTTTTTTTCCTCTTTCTTTCCCTGTCCTACCAGTGAGTGGCAGGTCACTGCCCGCTCCTCGGCCGCCCGGGTGCTGGCCGTGGGCACGCACGGGAGCCGGGCCAGGTCCTGCCCTGGCCGTGTGTGTGTCCTGGTCCCCAGCTCAGAGCCCAGGAACAAGGGCTCTCTGTGTCCCGCTGGCTGCCGGGCCCTCGGCTCTGCAGCGCCTGACACCAGCCGGTTTCTCCCTCTCCGTGGGGCTCCCTCCATCCCTCCTCCTTCCTGTGGCGTTTGAGATCACCCCATTTCCTGGGAAGAGTGTGAAAGAGATGTGGTTCACAGGGTGAAGGACATCTCCTCTGGTACAGCCAGGGAAGCCCAAACCATAAGGATTTCCAGGGTCAGACCTGCCCTATGTTTTGCAGGATGGGGGAGCATCCTTTAGAATCCTGGGCTCCCACACACTCCGTGGGGGGCAAAAGCAGCATCTGCAATTGCAGGGGTGGACTCCCAGGACTTACTTTTAAGGCAGAGGTTGCCAGAAAATGATTGCACACAGACCTCTCAGCTTCTTAAATCCTGCAGATGGAAGGCATCTACATTTTTTCTTGCTGCAGGGCCATTGCCCCATCTGGAGAACAGCTCCAGAGCAGGCAGGGGCAGCCTAGGGCTGTTTGCTGCCTGTCTCTGCCCGCCTGGGTGCAGGATCCTGCTCAGGGCTGGCACTGGAGCTCTCCCTGGTCCAGGAACCGGCACATTTGGTGTGAAGGGCCTCAGGGGGAGGACAACCACGCTGGCTGCTCTGTGCCAGCAGCATGTGTGGCTGGGAGAACACAGCTGGGCACGACGTGGCAGTGCTGTGCCTGTGGCTGTGCACTGGAAATGGCTCTTTTCCTCTTAGGATAAAATTAGCTGAATCCAAACCACTTACAGAGCCTGCCCTCCTCCAGCAGGCCAGGGATTGGGTTTTGGAAGGGAATTGGTCACTCAGCATCCACGTTGGGGGCAGATACTTGAAAAATGGTTCTTCCTGGTTGTCCTCCTAAAGCAGTGCTGCTGTGTGTCACCATGGCTCGAGTGGGCTGAGGGCGCTGGGACTCACCCTGCAGGGTCAGGAGCTTGTAGGAGTGGTATTTGCTGTTTCCACTGTCATGCAGACATCTCTCTCTGCTTCCCTGTGTGCTCCCCACTGTTCTGCCTTTGGTCCCAACCTCGGCATCCTTCTGGGGTCACACATCCATTCTTGTGCGTCACAGCCAGTGCCCCTTTGGGCATGGCTGCTCTGTTTGTGTGGTGTCCCAGCTCCAGGATGAGACCCCTCCATCCCAGACCTCCTGAACACATTTCTCCTCTTTTCCCTGCTGAGCCAGGATCTCTGCCAAGGATCTGAAGAACATGCTGTCTCAGGTCAACTACCGGGTGCCCAACATGAGGTTCCTGCGGGAGAGACTCACGGTGAGTGTGTGACCCCTCAGCTCTGGGGACCCCCAGCAGCCTGTTACCCACCTTTGTGCAAACCCTGGTGGTGGTTAAACTCCCAGGGCATGTTTGCATATTGCAGAGCCTCCCAGCCTTTCCTGGGAGGGCCCCCACCCACGGTGGTGACTGAAGAGGTGCCAGCTCTCACTGGGTGCCGCACCCTGGCCCATTTGTGGCCAGCACCCTCTCCTTACCCCACCCTGCCTCCCACACTCCCCACATTGCTCCTGGCTCTGGTTGTGGGCTTGGTGCTGGTGGGGTAAAGCACAGGAGGCCAACTACTGAGTCCTGCATCCTGGGTCTTGCAACCCACTGCTAGGGAGCGATGCTCTGCCAGCATCACTGCAGGCCCAGGGGTGGAGGGTCATCTCACCAGGACCAGCTCTTCCCACCAGCATGGAACTCTGAGGCCAAAGAGTGGTGTATCCAAAGGAGAGCACACGCTCTGGGTCATGCAGTTTTCAGACACTTCAGGTGCTCTTGGCAAACAGAAGGTTAAATTATCCTTTGGAAACCATTCAAGTAAGTGTTGATGCTTTTCTCAGCATGGTGATGCCTTTGTATGGCTGAGCTTGGGGAACTGTGGCACTCGTTTTAGGATGTACCCGTGTCCTGGGCACTGCAGTGTCCTGCTGGCCCCAGCAGAGGTCATGGAATCAGAATTGTTAAGGTTGGAAAAGACCTCTAATATTCAGTCCAACCATTACCCAGCACTGCCAGGTCCACCACTAAACCATGTCCACAAGTGCTGCATCCACATGCTTGCTGAACCCTTTGAGAGATGGTGACTCCACCATTGCCCTGGGCAGCCTGTTCCAATGCCTGACCACTATTTCCATAAATTTTTCATAATATCCAGTCTAAACCTGGCACAACTTGAGGCCATTGTGCGGGAGGCAAAGTCTGGACAGGTTTTGGCCTTTTCCTCCTCCTTTTTTCTGCATGAATCCTGGTGGAATGAGACACTCCTCAGGCCATGCAGAGTTGCCTGTGGCTCTTGTAAAAACTCTGCTTTTTTTTTTTTTTTGCCTCAGGATGTGGAGCAAAGGAATGGGGACATCACATATGGGCAGTTTGCACAGCTCTACCGCAGCCTGATGTTCAGCGCCCAGAAAACGGTGAGAGCTGAATTCCCCAAGGGTGGAAAGGGGAAGGAAAGACCTTATTTGTTACTGGGCATTCCCTCTTAATTGTCTTTTTAACCCTGCTGTTGTTGGGGTGAGCTCTTGTGTCTGGGGAGTAAAGAAGTTACTGAGTGCAAACCTAATGTTTGTGCTCTTTCTTTTGCAGATGGATGTCCCATTCCTGGAAAGGTGGATAATTCTTTGTATTTGCTGGGGAAGGGGCTGGGGTTTTTTCTCCATGTCATGCTTTGGTGCCTGCAGCAGCGTGCTGGGATGAGACATGCTGCACTCCTCCTGCCACCACGCTGCCTGTGGGTTTGTGCTCTGAACAAGCATCTTTACTGTAGACACTTCAGCTCGGGGCAGCGAGGGCTCTTCCTCCCAGACATCCCCCTGAGATGCAGCTCAGGTCAGTTGATTGATGTGATCAGATCTGGAGCCATCTCCCAGGGGTTGTCCTCGTGGTGGCTGCAGAGCCCTGGCTCCCCAGGCAGTGCCTCTGGTGCCATCTCCAGCTGTGCCCTCTGCACACCTCAGCCGTGATAAAAAAAGTTTGAATTTAAACCCAGGAGCTAAAGAGTGACAGACTTATTAACTTGTTCAGGTAATTCTCAATGGTTTCCTTCCTTTTTTTCCTACAACCATAGAAAAGAGTTGGCAGGACCCTCAGCAGACCATCTGGCTCACCCCTTTGCCCAGGGCAGCCAGCACTGCCCAGTCCACTTTGGGGTTTTGTGGTGTTAGTGCCCAGCATGGCCCTTGGCTGTCCATTGTGGCTTGGTGCAGTCATGGACCAGTCTTTTGAGATGATCAGCTACAAACCATTCCTCCTTAATTCCCTGTGCCTTGCCTCCCTGAGTCCATGCTTCCATGTCTATCCTGTCTGCAATCACCCCTAGACTGCCCTGCACCTATTCAGTTCTTTTCACTTGTGTACAGACCCTCAATTTTTATTTTTTTTTTTGTACCTCTGATGATTTTTGCTGCCCTTTGCCAGAGTTTCGTGTCGTTGTGCCCTTGGCAGTGTGAATCCTGGACTGTTCCTGGAGCAGTCCCAGGCTCTGAGATATGGATATATGATCTCAGTTGCTCCATGTTTGCTGTCATGGTCTCCTTGACTCTCTGCCCATCCTGCTCTGCTCCTGCAGCCTGCTTGCTCGGGGCACATCTGGCTGCACGTGCCGTGGAGGTGGCAGATGGCATCTCACGTGGTGTGCTGTGTGAGTGACTGAAGCTTCTCTCTCTTTGCTTGTCAGGGGTGGAGAAAGGTCTGAGCACTTCAGGGTGTCACTGCTGGAGCTGCAGAAGTTCTTACTGGAGTACCAGAGGGTGAGCTCAACAAAGGCCATGGGGAGGGACTGTGGGGTGGGCACCAGTATCAGTGTGGATCCAGTGTTCCATGGGTAACCTTGCTGTGGAGCTGGGGTGATTTGGTTCCGGGGTGCTCTGCCTGGCATGGCTTCAACCTGAGCATGTCCTTCCTGGAGCAGGAGGTGTTGCAGGGGGAGCACTGGGGAGGGCAAACCTGTCCTCAGCCAGGCACCCTGGTCAGAAAAGGAACTAAGAGCTCTGGGAGGAGCAGAGGTCCCGGGAGGAAGGAACTGGTCACTGGAGTTTTACCCAGTCCCTGTGACCTCAGCTGGTTACTGAAGGTTTGGAGCAGCCAAAAAGTCCTGTCCATCCTGGCTGCTCAGAAGTTGTCAGCAGCTCCTGAGGAGCAGCTGATGGATTCAGTCACTGACCTTTCCATTTCAAAGTGACTGCGGGTTGTTCAGCCAGCACAGCATGCACAGACCCCTTGGCTCTTGCTGGGCTCCCACCTCACTGCTGGTCTCCTCCAGGAGGGCAGGTGGGGGAGTGTGAGGCCTCCTGCTCTGTGCCCCACCACTGCCTCTCTGCAGCCAGCAGGGAGTTACCCAGGGGGAGATGTGATGTTTCCATGGCTGATGAAAGAAACACAGGGAGAGGGAGCCAAAGGAAGCCGGGTTGGCTTCTGCTGCCGAGGGAGGAGGGAGGGCAGATGTGTGTGAAGGAGCTGTCAGAGAGGAAAATGCACAGCACTGAGAAAATGAATCCCACAGAAGTAGGGCAGATTTGCTCACTCTGTGCTCTCCAGCATTTGTGCTGACAGTTGAGTTCCTGGCAGAGATGGTCTTGCATCAAAAACCGCCTCCTTAATGGTTAAAGCTTCTTGCTGGATGAGCTGCACGTGGTTTTGAATAGTACTTTCTGAAATGGCTTCTTTTATGTCTCTCCCGGGGTTTGCAGGAGCTCTGGGCTGCAGATACCCTTCAGGTACAGGAATTCATGTTCAACTTTCTGAGAGACCCTTTGAGGGAGATTGATGAGCCTTATTTCACCCTGGACGAAGTAAGACACCTTGAACGTGGTGTGTGTGGAGTGGGGTGACACAGGGGGTGACATCCCTGGTGCAGAGTGTGCTGTGGTGTGACAGCTCTGCTGTCTGTGCTGTGAGTGGTGGTGCTGGAAGGATCACAGCTCCTGTGAGCTGCCTGGCCCTGTGAGATGGACGTGGTGGGTCACTGTGTTACACAAGAGCTGGTTGACAAAGAGAGTGACTTCCGGGCTCTCTTCTTGTGCTGAGTGTGTGCAGCTGGGAGTACTCATCAGGCAGTTCATATGGGGGAGGAGAGGGGCTGCGTTTGGCTTAATGCTGCTTTGGGGCATGTCAGGATTTTTTCAAAGCAAGAAGAGCTGAAAACAAAATAACAAAAACAACTAGAGATGACAATGTCACTGGCACTCTGGACCAAGCCAAGGTCCCTTGACCCACATGGCCTTAGTGAGCTACTGCCAGCCATGTGAGCTGTAAGAAATAAATGCAGAGCAACTCATTCGTCTGCAGTTGGTCAAAGGATTTGGCACACAGATGTCTGGCACAGCTCAGAGGGCAGGTGGCCATGCCCAGGCTGTGGTTACTCTGGCTCAGGTAGCCTGGGTGCTGTGTGGGTGGCCCCTGGTCAGTCTGTGCCTCTGGCACAGGGTGGGAGATGTGTGTGAAGCTGAACCACAGCACCGGCCCCTCCACATCATTAACACCCTTCTGTTTCTTCCTGAGCAGTTTCTCACCTTCCTGTTTTCCAAAGAGAACAGCATCTGGAACTCACAACTGGACATGGTGTGTCTGGAGAACATGAACAACCCCCTCTCCCATTACTGGATCTCCTCCTCACACAACACGTAAGGAGTAGGGGAGGGCTCTCTCCACCCAGCTGCTCCCAACAGCCTTTTCCCATGCCAGGGGGAGATTCTCCTGATTTTGCCTGATCCCAACAATGGGTCAAGTAGACTTCCAAACAGTGGTCAGTACATTAGAGACCTTCCTCTTGGTGCCTCAATTTTCCCTGTGTTGTTTAACCATAAATGTTTTGCTCAGACATTGTTCACAGCACACATCTGCACAGACCTTCAGGTGCCTTCACATCCTGAGCTGTCACTCTGGTAATTCCTCACCATTAGCAATGGCATCTTCCCTAGCCTTTCAGGACAGATGTGGTAAAACCTGTTGGGCTGAATTTGGCCATTTTCCTTCTCTGCTGCTGGAAGAATTTTGCAGGAATTGCTTTCTGTGCAGACAGGCTCTGTGTGTGCTCCCTGTTCATGGGGTGCAGTGGCAGCCCCTTAGCCCACACGTAGAGGACCAAGAGCCTAAGCCAGCTGAGCAGCCCTGAGGGCAGGCAGTGAGCTCCTGTCTGCCTGCAAGAGCTGGTCTAACCCTGCTCTTGGGCTCTTTGTGGCACCAGTGCTGATACCTCTCTGCGGTGTTTATCTCAGGAGACAGCAGTAGGGCTGGGCTCAGAGCAGTGCTGGCAGCCCTTGCCAGTGGGACAGAGCCGAGCCCCTACCCTGGGGAGGTGGCAGCTGTGGGAACGCTGCTCTGCCCTTCCCTGCAGGGCAGAGGCAGGTCCAGGATGGCCCAGTGGTGTGGCTGTGCTGATGTGTTTGTGTCCCCTGGCAGGTACCTGACGGGGGATCAGTTCTCGAGCGAGTCCTCGCTGGAGGCGTACGCGCGCTGCCTGCGCATGGGCTGCCGCTGCATCGAGCGTGAGTGCTGCCCCTCCTCCTGCCTCCTTCCTTGGGACAGCCTGTGGTGGTCGGGAAAGGCTTTGCACGGAAGGCAGAGCTGCTGGTTGACGTGCCACTAGCGACATTATCTCCGTGATGTGCAGAAAGGGCTGAGGTCGTTTGCTTTGTGGGGCGTGCCTGAGCTTTTGGTTCCTGGGGAGGATCTGGCCTTTCACCTCCTCTATTGCCACCTAATGCATTTCCCAGCAGTGCTTAGTTCAGTCCATCTCATGTCCGTGTCCTGCCTGTATTGCAGCCTTTGGGCTGAGTTTCCCCCGTGGGTCTCTTTCAGTGGATTGCTGGGACGGTCCCGATGGCATGCCCGTCATCTACCACGGACACACCTTAACCACCAAGATCAAGTTCTCCGACGTCTTGGTCACTATCAAGGAGCATGCCTTTGTCACCTCTGAGTGAGTACAGCAGGACCTCAGCTGGCAGAGCAGAGAGAATGTAGAGCAGAGAGGTTGTAGTAAAGGGAAGCCCACCTTTATCCAGAGATCCAGCACAAGGCCTGGCATTTGGTGGGAAAAAAATCATCTCGTGTCCCCCAGCCAAAGGGAGATTTTTCCTGGAAGAACTTGTGGGAGGGAGGGCTTTGGGTAAACCTGGGTAGTTTGCCAGTCCTTCTCCACCCTGTGCCCTGCCAGCAGTGGTGGGACACATTCCTGAAGGGTGGTTACACTGGGTGCTCAAGACAACAGAGATCGCTGTTGATGAGAGCTGCTCCTGGAGGGCACAGAGACCAGGTTTCAAAACAGTCTCAGAAGTCCTTGGTTCCATCCAGAGCCCGTGGTGGCTCTGATGACTGTTCTCCTTCTCCCAGTTTCCCTGTCATTCTGTCCATCGAGGACCACTGCAGCATTGCTCAGCAGAGGAACATGGCTCAGAATTTCAAGAAAGTCTTTGGGGACATGCTCTTGACCAAACCAGTCGATATTTCTGCTGATGGCCTTCCCTCTCCAAACCAGCTCAAGAGGAAGATTCTCATCAAGGTGAACCCCTGTCCCCAGCAAGGCTCATAAGTGAAAGAATGAGGGCAGAGTGGGGGGAGGGTGTGGGACCTGCCTCTGGAAGGGAGTGGTTGTCAGTACAGGGTTGGAAGTGGAGAGCTGATGCTCAAACCAGCTGGAGACAGAGCTCTCTTGCTTCAGAGGAGCAGCTGGGTGCTGCCTGTCTGGAGAGTGTGGGGGATGTTGGTATTTCTGCTGCAGGAGTCATTTCTGGGAAGAAAGGGTAGGACTTTACTGCCATTCAATGATCTCTGTGGTATAGATCTTGATCCTTTTAGTCTGGAGGAACCCATTGCAGCAGGGCTGTTCACCAGAAAATGCAAGCTGCTTTTTGGATGCTTGTTCCCCTCGGGGTGCCTGACCTACTCTCTTGTCCCACAGCACAAGAAGCTGGCAGAGGGCAGTGCTTATGAGGAGCTGCCCACGTCCGTGATGTATTCAGAGAATGACATCAGCAACTCCATCAAGAACGGGATCCTCTACCTGGAAGACCCCATAAATCACGTATGTCTCTGCTGCTGTCACCGTGTCCCTGCTCTGGGGGCTCCATAAATGGTGTCATGGCTCCATCGTGTGCTGTGTGTGCTGGAAGGAAGGGGTGTGGTGCAAATGACCAAAGAAGCCCTTGGTCTCTCTGGTTTCTCAGGCATCCCTGAAGGCTGGGGGAGTTCTGTGCTGGCTCTCTCCTGTGCTCTTCCCTAGGCATCTCCTGTGGGCCCTTGCTAGAGGCAGAAGGCTGAGCTAGAGGGAGCTCTGGGCCAAGGTACTGCAGCCTGTGATCTGTGCTGCAGGAAGTTCTGGTGATGGCTGTGCTTCCAGCCCTGCCTCCTACCAAGTGCCTGCACTCCTGACACACCTAAACAAGCATTCTGCTTTGTAAAGCACTGATCACTCATTTACTGTGTGCATTTACTTAACACAGCCCACTTCTTCAGCAGCATTGCTTTGCTGAGGGTCTGTCATGCAAAGCCACCTGCTACCAAAACAGATTTTTTGGGAAAAGGGGAAAGTGCAACGGTAAATCCACATAAAATCCCTGCCATCCTCACCTCTGATAGCCGCTGTGCTGAGTCCATGCAGAGGGGTTTTTTTGCATTGATTTGCTTTTGATTTGGTTATCACCTTTTAATATGTGCTGGGGTGTTTGCAGTGTGATCTGCAGTCACTTTGTATGTAAGACCTGTCACGTGCTGGGTTTTTGCTACTGATAAATCTGTGCTTCAGATCTGGGGGATGTCTTGGAAGCTCCTGTGACTCACTGGAATCAGTGTTGCTGGTGACTGTCCTTCACAAACCTGATCACCCCTCCCTGCTTGTGCTGGTCAGGGAGAGACGATGCCATGGATGGGTGGTGGGCCAGCTCAGTGCTTCCTTGGGGGTCTCTTTGCCAGAGTTTGTTTCTTTGCAGGAGTGGAACCCTCATTACTTTGTGCTGACCAGCAGCAAGATCTATTACTCTGGGGAGACAACCAGTGACCAAGGAAACGAGGATGAGGAAGAGCAGAAGGAGGTGAGGGCTCTCCTGTGTGGCAGTGAGTTGTTCCCATAAGGAAAGGACCTGGCTGCCCAAGGGGCTGAGCATTACCACTGCCAGCTGCCTTCAGGGGGAGATCCTGTGCTGGGAACGATGGGAGCTGCTTCAGAAACTCCCTGGTCCTGGTTGGTAGACCCCTGAGCAGACTCCAGCACCACAACTCAGTAACCCAAGGTGGTGGGTTTTCCCCCTTCCAGGTGAGCAACAGCACCGAGCTTCACTCCACAGAGAAGTGGTTCCACGGGAAGCTGGGAGCAGGCCGTGACGGGCGGCACATCGCGGAGCGGCTGCTCACCGAGTACTGCATCGAGACGGGGGCCCCCGACGGCTCCTTCCTCGTCAGGGAGAGCGAGACCTTTGTTGGGGACTATACCCTCTCCTTCTGGTGAGGCCCTGGCTGCCCCGTGCCGCTCCAGGGGTAGTTTCCTCTCGGTGCTGTGTTCAGTGGTGGGGTCCCGTTCCCTGGTGGTCTGTGAGCAGGTTTCTCCCCTTTTTCTGAGCCCCAGCACCATGTCAGCTCCCTGTCCCGGTGCAGAAGGGTCAAGTCCTTTGGGATCCTTAGGCAATCACTCTCCTGTGGGGCAGGAATTCTGTCTCAGGCTGTTGCTGTGCCTGAGGCAGGTGCAGAATCTCTGTGGACAACCTTGGCTTACCCCCTCCCTCTTGCACAGGCGCAACGGGAAGGTGCAGCACTGCCGGATCCACTCGCGGCAGGATGCCGGCAGCCCCAAGTTCTTCCTGACGGACAACCTGGTGTTCGACAGCCTCTACGACCTCATCACCCACTACCAGGGGGTGCCACTGAGGTGCAACGAGTTTGAGATGAGGCTGACAGAGCCGGTGCCACAGACCAATGCCCATGAGAGCAAAGAGTAAGTGTGTGTTTAGGGAGGGGAGGTTGTGTCCATTGGGTTGCTGGGACCCTGGGGGAAACCGTCCCAGATCTCTCCTCAGCCATTCCCCTCTTGCGGGGACTTTCTGGTCCTCCTTTTCTCCCCGTGGAGCTCTGTCACAGCAGCCGTGCTGGCCAGCTCTGTTGTGCATGGAGCTAATTGTTGTGGAGTCTCAGTGCAAAGCAGAGGTACTGGGCTTGGTTGGGATGCCCTCGCCCATGCCACGCATCACTGAAGGGCTCTGCCCCATTCCAGTGTCATGGATAGGATGTTCTCTGCTCCCTGTCCTCCTTTTGAGGATTCAGGCAGCCTTTTAGGGGCTGAGGGGAAGGTGTGTTCCATGGCAGAGTTGTGGGATGAGCTGGATGTGTGGAGGCCTGTGCAGAGTGACGTGTCTCTCCTGACAGGTGGTACCACGCCAACCTCACCCGGGCCCAGGCCGAGCACATGCTGATGCGGGTGCCCCGCGACGGAGCCTTCCTGGTGCGCAAGAGGAGCGAGCCCAGCTCCTATGCCATCTCCTTCAGGTGTGTCCCTGGGGAGGGGTGACGGGCGCGGGAGGTGTGGCCGGGATGCTGTGGTGGGTGGGAGAGCTGGACAGAGGCCATCAGCCGGACATGAGCCCTCCCAGAGCTCCTCTTGTTCCCATGTGGCCATGGATAAGTCCTGTAGCCCCCTGAGAGCCCTTAGGGCCCTGCTCCTCCTCCCATCCTCTGATGGAAGATGACTTTGCTCAGCCGTCAGCCCAGGGGCACCTTTTCCTCGGGCTTCTTTATTTTGGCAGAGACTTTCTCGTGCCAGGTGCCAAGTGGCTTCTCTCTTTCCTCCTTCCAGGGCAGAAGGGAAGATCAAGCACTGCCGGGTGCAGCAGGAGGGCCAGACTGTGCTGCTGGGCAACTCTGAGTTCGAGAGCCTGGTGGACTTGATCAGCTACTACGAGAAGCACCCGCTGTACCGCAAGATGAAGCTGCGGTACCCCATCAACGAGGAGACGCTGGAGAAGATCGGCACCGCGGTGAGCGTGGCAGCCACTGGGAGAGCTCAGCCACACAGTGATGGACAGGTCGTTTCTGAGCTGCTGCCTTGGTGTGTGAGCCATCCCTGTGCTCCACAGCCCTCACCTCTTGGGGCTTTGTGCCGCTTACTGGCACTGCCCCTCGGAGCCAGGCTGGCTGGGAGTGTGGGCTTGGGCTGCTGTTTGCCATGTGCAGCATCATCTTCAGTCTTGTGGCTTCCCTGGGGTGCTCTCCCTCCCTGCCCCAAGGCAGGGGACCTGTCACTGCTGTAACCACTGTCCCTTTGCTTCCACAGGAGCCGGACTACGGAGCCCTGTATGAGGGACGCCACCCCGGGTTCTATGTGGAAGCCAACCCCATGCCCACCTTCAAGGTATGCTATGACTGCTTGGGATGGGACAACCTGCAAGGCCTGAGGGTTGGCAAGTGTCTCTGTGTTTCATTTTCCAAGAGCTGGGTTATTTTGCACGCTCATTTTTAGACTATGAGGGGAGAAATGCTGGAGGTTGAACCTGCAGGTTCCCAGGCTGGGCTGCCTCTTATTCTGAGCTCTCCGAATTCAATCCATCAGTGGCTGTGGGGTAAAGGAAAGTGCTTGTGTGGGGCCATACCAGATTTGTGAGCTCTACTTTGGTGTAAGTGGGGCCTTGATTTGTTCTGCAGGGTGTCAGTAGGGGCTGGCAGCAGGGCTGGATGCTGCCTGCACACAAGGTGCCTCACAGCCCCCCCAACAAACACATCTGTGGTGGGAGGTGATCTCATCCTGTGGGCTTGTTGTCCGTGTGTCCTTCCCCTGCCCAGCCTCATGGGACCCTCCTCCTTGCAGTGTGCAGTCAAAGCCCTGTTCGACTACAAGGCCCAGCGGGAGGACGAGCTCACCTTCACCAAAAATGCCATCATCCAGAATGTGGAGAAACAGGAAGGAGGCTGGTGAGTGGGAGCTGAGCCTCCCTTTTCCCTCAGGGATGTGGTCAAACCTTGCTGTCACCATCTATACAAAGGTGTGTCCTCTCCAGGAGTGGGTCTGTCTGGGGATTGCCCACAAGCTGCACAGTCCCAAAGTCTCAGGAACCCTAAAAGCAGATAATGGAGGAGCTGTCTGCCCCCCTGACCCCCACTCAGGATGCTCAGGGGTCCCATGGCAGGTGCTGATGCTGCCCCTTCCTTCCCTTCCAGGTGGAGAGGAGATTATGGTGGCAAGAAGCAGCTGTGGTTCCCTTCCAACTATGTGGAGGAAATCACCAGTCCCAGTAGCCTGGAGCCAGAGCGGGAGGTATGTCCATGAGTGGGGCAAGGAGGGCTGGTGCCCCTCGAGCTTGGCTGCTCTGCCCAGCACCATGCCCAGCACCATGCCCAGCACCATCCTGCCTGTGCTTCCTTCCCAGCAGCAGCTGGATGAGAACAGCCCCCTGGGAGACCTGCTCGGAGGTGTCCTGGACGTGCCTTCGTGCCAGATCGGTGAGTGCCAGGGAGAGAGCATTACAAAGGCCCCTTGAGGCTTCTCAGCCCCCTGGGGATACACTCTGCATCCTCACCTGTCACTTCCTGGGCTCCAGTGACCAGAAATGGGACCTTCTTGTAGCTGAAGAGTCCTGGGTCAGCCCTGAGCCCCTGCGTCTGTCCTCTCCCTTCCTCCCTCTGCTCTGTGAAGGGCTTGGCTCAGCAGCTGCTGTGACCTTGCCCTGTGCCCCTGTCCCCACGCAGCCATCCGCCCCGAGGGGAAGAACAACCGGCTCTTCGTGTTCTCCATCAGCATGTCCTCGGTGTCGCGCCTGTCCCTCGACGTGGCGGCCGACACGCACGAGGACCTGCTGGACTGGGTGAAGAAGATCCGGGAGGCAGCTCAGACAGCTGATGCACGGGTGAGCCTGCAGAGACGTCTCCCTGCCAAGTGCTGGGTTTTCCAGGAGCTGAGGAGCAGGCAGAGGCTGGCGGGGGGTGGTGATGTGGCAGTGTGTGATGGAGGGCAGAGCAGTGACAGAGATGACAAAGGCAGAGCAGTCTTTGACAATATGGTGAGGGGTGGTGGCTGTGTGTTACGGCTTGAGAGGTTCAGGCTGAATATCTGGGAAGATCAGACAACTGGGAGGGTGCTGCAGCCTTGGGAGGTGGGGGATCTCCATCCATGGAGGGTGGCAAGGCCACAGCTGCCCTGCCCTGCCCTGCTCCAGGCAGGAGGCAGGACCCACCAAGGGCCCTTCCCATGGGGGTTTTGTGGTGTCCCCCAGTGCAGACCTGGCAGACCTGCTAGTGGTTCCCACAGCATGAGCAGGAACAGCCACACCAAGCAGTGTGGGTCAGTTTATGAGCTGGGTTGTCCAACACCACTGCTCCTACCTGGCCTGACACCTCTGTCACCCTCTCTTGGCAGCTCTCCGAAGGGAAGATGATGGAGAGGAGGAAGAAAATTGCCCTGGAGCTTTCTGAGCTGGTGGTCTACTGCCGACCTGTGCCCTTCGATGAAGAGAGTGAGCATCTGCCGGGCTGGGGCCACCACAGGCACTCACCATGGCATCACCCACCCCGTGGTGTGCCCCAAGGGGCTGCTTTGGCTAGATCTCAGCAGAGGCCAGGTGTCCAAGGTGTCCAAAGCACCAGTTTGCCTTGGAGCTCTGGAAACATCCTTTTGCAGAGGGTGGAAGTTCTGTTCCCCATCCCTCTGTTGCTCATATCTGTCACCATCCAGAGCAGCTGCTGATGAAGTGGGGTTGGGGAGCATCATGCCTGATCACCAAGAGCTGTGTCAGTGCTTTCAGCCATTGGTGTTAGGCCCCTGGAAAACACTCCCCAGGTCAGAGTAGGGTCTGCACTGCTGTGATGTCTGAGCCAGGGGTGGGAGGATGGTGTCAGGAAGGAGCCAGTCAGGGTGCTTGAAATGTCTGAAAAGGGAGTGTTCTTCTGGCTTACACAGTGCTGTCTCCTCCCAGAGATCGGCACAGAGAGGGCCTGTTACCGAGATATGTCCTCCTTCCCCGAGACCAAGGCGGAAAAGTACGTCAACAAGATCAAAGGCAAGAAGTTCCTGCAGTACAACCGCCTGCAGCTCTCCCGCATCTACCCCAAGGGCCAGCGCCTCGACTCCTCCAACTACGACCCCCTGCCCATGTGGATCTGTGGCAGCCAGCTGGTAGCACTCAACTTCCAGACCCCAGGTGAGGGCAGCAGGCAGGGGAGGTGGGTGGGTTCCTGGGGTGCCCGGTATCTCCTCTGAGCCACCTGCCTGCACCCCTGCTAACCTGCTCCTGGCAAATGGGAGGTCTAGGAGGGGCTCTGGGTCTAGGAGGGGCTCTGCAGGCAGCAAGACCCAGTGTTCATGTCCAGGCACGTGGTTGCTGCAGGGGAAATGTGCTCCTGAGGGCTGGATTGACCCAGGGAGCTGGGCTGAGCCTGAGGGTTGTGCCACGAGAGCAAGATGAGATGGAGAGGAGGCAGGGAGTTTTCCCAGGTCCCTGGTAACAAGGAGGGCAGGCAGGGAAGGTGCCAAAGGGGATGGTGCAGCCCCAGCTTTGGGACTCCAGCTGGTTGCAGGGTTAGACACCAGCTGGATGCATGGTCTGGGTCCAGCTGGCTGCTCCTCTTGCCTTTCCCCAGCTTCCATTCCTGCTCCTGCCGTGCAGTCCAACCTTCCTCTTTCCCTGGCCCTTGCCAAGCCCTGCTGTGAGCCTGTTCAGCTCACCCACACACCAGCAAACGACCTGCCTCTTTTTTCCTGCTGGCTTTTTCATTCCTTTTCTGAATTCAAGCATCTCACAGGGTGGTTTGGCAAACACTAGAGTCAGCACAGGGAAAGCTGAAGGGAGAGGGAGGAAAAGGAGGAGGTGACCCATGGAGCACTGGGTAGTTGGGCAGATCCTGCATAAGAAGATCACCCCATGTCCCCAACACGTGCACAGGCTGCAGTGAGGTCGTGGAGCACAGGATGGACCAGGTCCCCTTGCCAAGGGCTTCCTGAGAGGGACCAATAATCCAAGTGATCTAGCTTGTGAAAAGGGCACAGGGCCTCTTCCATCTCCTCCATCTCCTGCTTGTGCTCTCCAGACAAGCCCATGCAGATGAATCAGGCCTTGTTCATGTCCAGTGGCCAGTGTGGGTACGTCCTGCAGCCAACCAACATGCGAGATGACATCTTTGACCCCTTCGACAAGGGCACGCTGCGAGGCATCGAGCCGCTCTCCATCTCCATTGAGGTCAGTACTGCTCCCGCTGTGGGGAGGGATTCCATCCGGGTGGTTATACCAGACTTGGGGTGACAGAATGTATTTTCTGGGTTCCTGGCTCTGCCTGCAGCTGCTTGCTCCTCACCAAACCCCTCAGCCCTTCCCTAGAGCTGTCCCACAGCACAGGCTTGGAGAGCCCTCGCTGAAGAGGGAGACCCGCGGGTGTTGCTGAGGGTACCTGGAAAGGACCATCCAGAGCATCCCTGGATGCTCCCCCGGGACCCCTCCGGCGCAGGGCCCAGTGCCTGCAGGTGGCATCCATGAGCTGCTGAGGTGGCATCCCTGTGCCCAGAGCCTGGCCGGCTCCAGCGGGATAACACAGGAGCTGTGCCTGGTCCCCTCCTTGTCACTCAGTCCCTCCGGGCTCGAGGTGTCCATGACCCCTTGGCTTGTGGCCCCTCAGGGGAAGATGCTCAAGGACAGAGCATCTTTTCACCCTGTTTTCTGTGTTGTACTGCTGGTGATGATAAGAGGAGGGGTGGCTGTGGGTGAGGGGTGCCAGAGGGTGGGCTGGGGGTACTGGGTGAATCTTTTTCATCCTGGATGGTGGTTCTGAAGCAGGGAGCTGCACCACAGGGGCTCCACAGGGGTATTGGACAGCTTGCCAGGCAAAGCCCCTGGAGGGCTGTGCCAAAGCAGGTGGCTCTCATGTTTGGAGCAGTGGTGTCCTGTACAGGCATCCGTGGTGATCCTGGAACCAAGCTGTGGGTCAGCAGTCTCCTTTGCCAGTCCCTTCACCTCATGCAGACCTTGGGGAGGATGCAGTGGAGATCTTGCCTTTAGGTGCTCACAAGTTTCCTCTGAGGCCACCTGTTTCAGAGTGTCCCACCTAAGCCACAGTCTTCCCTATGAGGAAACCCCATCATGTCCTATCTGCACCATTGACGCCATATCCACTGTCTCCCTAAAATCTCTGGCACTGTTTCCCTTTACCACCTGTTTTCCCAGCTCTTTCTGCATCTCAGAATGCAGCTGCAATCAGCAGGTGTCAAGAGTCATTGTACCATAGCCAGTCACTGTCGCCTTTAAGAGATGGGCTCAGCCTTTTGTCCTCTGGCAAAACTGCCCATGTCCCCACCAAAGCCAGCTTTCACGGATGGAGAAGCCGTCTCGAGCCCAGCATGACTCAAAGCACATGATCCAGCGTTGGCAGCATGTCCTTCCTCTGCAACAACAGCGTGCCAACAGCACACTGGAGCGACATATGGCCACCGGCAAGAGGGAGCTGCGCTGGCTTTCTCCTGTGAGGAAGCAGGTTGTCATTGGAGTTGGGCACAGACTGTGCTATGATTAGGAGGCAGAGCAGTGATGGAGAGCAGCTCCTTTTCATCCTCACACCGAGGCAGGAGGGCCGAGAAGTTTCAGCAAAGAAGAGGGTGTCCAGCGTAGCACTCCAGGCAGGGAACGGCGCTCGGCTTGGAGCCCAGTTCCAGCTTGGCAGGCTGGGGGAGGGATGCTGTGGCCCAGGCCTGGCTGTGCAGGCAGTAGGCAGGAACCTGGGGCAGTTTTTTTTATGGCTTACAGGTCAGACTGGTGATAGCAGCTTCCAGGGGTGGGAGCTGTTTCTCTCCGAGAGGCCCAGGCTGTCAGCGTCGCTTCTGTCTCCAATTAGCAGAGCCAGGGTGGCTTATTTGGAAAGGTGTCTTGGTATGCAAAGACATTGTTTTTCCCTTTGGTCCTGTCTCTTACCAAGTGTCTCCTGCTCTCTGCCCAGGTCCTGGGGGCTCGGCACCTTCCCAAAAATGGAAGAGGAATCGTTTGTCCTTTTGTGGAGGTGGAGGTGTCCGGTGCCGAGTATGACAATGCCAAGCAGAAAACCGAGATCGTGGGTGAGTGGGTTAGTGAAGGGAAGGGAGAGGGATGCACCAGCACTCCTGATCCTGCTGTGGGCCATGGGTGCTGCAGGAAAGCCTGGCCCTGGGCTGGGAGCTGCCCTTGTGCTGCCCCCAAGCTCAGCATCAGCTGTGGGGGAAGGGGGCTCAGCGGGGGCTGCCCACTGACAGCCGTGTCTCGTGAGCAGCGGACAACGGCCTGAACCCCCTCTGGACCCCGAAGCAGTTCCACTTCCAGGTCAGCAACCCTGACTTTGCCTTCCTCCGCTTTGTGGTGTACGAGGAGGACATGTTCAGCGATGAGAACTTCCTGGCTCAGGCCACCTTCCTGGTGAAAGGCTTGAAGACAGGTAAAGCACTTGGGGGAGGGTGGTCATGGTGATCCTCACCAGTTCACATCATTAGCCAGGAAGATGCTGAGTTTCACGAGAGGATGTTGTCATGCCCCAGGCTGGCTCAGTCCATCCTGTCCCCATGACAGGTCACAGCCCCAGCGAGGTAAAGGAAGGCAGAAGCCATTTGCTAACAGCCCTTGGGGCTGACTGGGATGAGTTGGAGAGTCATGGAATCATAGAATGGTTTGGGTTGGAAGGGACCCTAAAACACCATCTCATTCCAATCCCCCTGCCATGGGCAGGGACGCTTTCCACTGGACCAGGTTGCTCAGAGCCCCATCCAACCTGGCGGAAGCAAAGAAGGGTCTTATGGGAGAAGGACCCCCCTCTGACACTGACATGTGCCACGAGTGACACCAGGGCTGTCTCTGCTTTAGGTTTCCGAGCTGTTCCCCTGAAGAACAACTACAGTGAGAATTTGGAGCTGGCTTCCCTGCTGGTCAAGATAGACATTTTCCCTAGCAAGGTGAGGCTGGGGTCGCACACGGGAAGGTGACTGTGCCACAGGGCTGAGGAGCAGAGGCAGTAAGTGAGCCCTGCCTGGCCCTGCCCACGCTCCTGCTTCAGTCAGGACAAGGCTCAGCTGTGCCTGGCCTGAATTCCCAATGCTGCTCCATAGTGATGCATGGTGGAAGGGCAAGTGCTGGGCTTGCCTCCTGCAGCAGTCAGGGTGTTTCAGGCAGGGTCCTGCCTGGACTGCGTTTGACTTGCCTGGAAATCCCTTCAGCAAAAGCTGGAGGAGGCGGATTTGCTCCATCCCAGTGCCTGTCTGCTCTCCAGGGAAGTTACAGCTCCGTATCACGGAGCTGGCTGGCCTGGGGCTGTCTGTGTTGGCAAAAGTGGAGGGCAGGGCTGCTTCAGAGACAGATGGTTCTTTTATTTCTTCATTTTAAATGATGCTGGTGGGAGCCAGCAGTGGTTGTTAGAGCAGTTTCATATTGCAAACCCCAAGCCCCCGTGAGCCCTGGACGCGCTGCGTGGCAGCTGCACCAGGACTGCCCTTACTGCAGGATGTACACTTTGAAATCCCAACCCCTTGACTGCTGTGTTTTTTTCTTTGTGATCCAAGCAGGAGAATGGTGAAATAAACCTCTTCAGTGCTTCAGCCCTACGGGAACGAGCAGGGGATGCCTCCAGTCAGCTGCTGTCAAGCAGAGGCAGAGAGGGGTCCTTTGAGTCGCGGTACCAGCAGCCTTTTGAGGATTTCCGGGTGTCACAGGAGCAGCTCGCTGACCACTTCGAGAGCCGGGAGCGAAGGTAATGGCAGTGCTCCTTCAGCTCCTCCCAGCAGACTCTGCTGCATAGAAACCCTAAATTTCAGCATGGAAGTTGTGCCATTGCTTAGGGGAGTCGCTGCCTTGGGGTCTGTGGGAGTAGGGTGGGACAAGGAGCTGCCGCCCTGCAGCTGGTGCCACCTTCCTCAGGCACGGGAGATGGGGCTGAGCCCCCGCTTTCCCCCAGTGGGGTGACCTTAGACACCCGAGAATGCCCTTGGTGACCCCTGGGTGAGGCTGAGCTGTCCCCTCTCTGTGCCCCCCTGCAGGGTACTGCGGAGGACCCGGGTCAACGGGGACAACCGGCTGTAGCCCATCCCGGCGGGCGAAAGCACCTCCAGTGCTTGTGAATCTCACAGCACGCTGTGAACTGGTTTCTATGGAAACGGCACTGCTATGGCCTACTTTCAGGCAGCTTTTCCAGTTTCTCTGCTGAAGTGTGTTCAAGTGGAGAACTAAAAAAAAAAAAAATAATATTGGAAAAAAAAAACCCCACTCCAAAACCAACCCCAAACCACCCTCCAACCTTCACCACCAAGCCCTTAATGAAGCGTGTCGGTGCAGACAGGCTGCCAGCCGCTGAGGTGAGAGACCAAACTGCCTATAATCACAAGGAGAGACCCAAAAAACCCCCATCCAGCCCTCTGTGTCGCTGCTCTGCCTGTATTCCAGAGATCCTGTGCAGCTGCCAGAGGCTCTGTGCAGCCATCCTTTGCTGTACTGTTCCCAGCACTCTGGGCAGGGGGGGACTTTGGAGACCAAGGCAGCACTAGCTGTGTCCTGGCATCGGATCTACTACCTGTATAGCCTCTGCCTAAGGGTCCAGTAGTGAAACTCTGTGTTTACGGGGCCGCTCTAGCTTTAAACGACAATAAAAGTGTCAGTATTATGTGTGTGCTGGCTCAGGTGTCTGGTGGGCTGTGCCCTGCACAGGGGTGCAGCCATTCCTGAGGGGAGCTTGCACTGTTCTCTCCTTCCTCCTGGATTTAGGGGGTTTGCAGCTGCTGAGGGGAAAAATAATAAGCAGCAGCATCAGGTTTAATGTTTTCATTCAAAAGGATAAAACGAGGTTATGTGCTACCACTGGCCATGCAGTTCTGAGCCAGCCTGGGGACAAGCACCCCAGGATGAAGAAGAGCTCCCAGGACAGAGGTGTCTGAGCTCAGCATGTGGCTGGGTCACTCACTCATGGCCTTACCCCATCGTGCTCTTAAAACAAATGGGAAGGTTGTGATGAAGCATTCCCAGCCCTCTCCACGTGGGGCAGCTCCTGCTGTGATGCCCTGGGCTTAAGGGCATCACCACGGGCCTCCCCAGACCCCAGTGCAAGCACCAGTCAACTCACGCTTGTCTTTTACGCTCTTTATTTAGGAACAACCAAAAATGTCTGGTTTCATTTCAACAAACTGTACAAGCAAGCTCTTCCCCTCGCCCACCCTCACATCCACATATACAAAAGGAAGGGAAACTTGCCATTCACTTCTCAGAAGTGGCATTGTTGCTACAGGGAGTTCTTGCCCTCAGAATAAGAGCAGGTAAAGTCCATAGCAGGTACAAGCTACCCTAGCCCTAATAATAGCTACAGCCCACAATCACAGGCAGCTTCACTTTTTTTTTTTTCCCTCTTTAAAACCTTTAGCAAAAGTAAAAACTATTTCCTGTTTCACACGATTGCCAAAGTGGCCATTTAAAATTGTGGTCTTGAAAAAAAACACAGTAACAACCCTACTGGAACCCCCCACACCTCCCCAGTACAAAGACAGTTTACACAGCAGAGCACTCGCTCTGCTCCCTCACTGCAAGGACACCCTTATGAAAGGTCCCATTGCAGCTACAATTACATTTTCCTTTGGATAAATCCAAGCAAAAATTCCAGGTCATTCAGCACCAGCATGATTTCTAAATAACAATAATTAAAAAAAAAAAAAAAAAAAAAAAAGAGACCCCATTAGGCTGACTTTGTGGTCTGCTGAGAAACAAAGTGATCAACACGCTGTTCCCAAAGTCTCTCTTTTAGTGCAATGTTAGTATGTGCAAGGGGAATCACAGCCACGTACCCATAACACCACCACGAGCCAGATGGGGCAGAGAGAAAGTGCAATTTTAGCTAGAAGTTTTCTATGCCATGGATTCCTAGCCCAACCCTCACTAGCACCAGTAAGCAAGAGTCCTCCTAACACTGCCCTCCATCAGTGCAGGTAAAAAGGGGCCTTAATTGTGCCATAAAAATATGGCCAATGTCAGCAAACAGAGCACTTGGGCAATAACCAGAAAATTCAAAATTAAAAAAAAAAAAGAAAATTCACTGCTTAGGTAACAGAGCTCCCTTGGTCTGCCCTAAAGTTTGTGATGCCAATCCAGCACTCCTGGCAGGACCACTGCCAGTAAAACACAGAGCAGAAACTAACCCTCCCAATTTAAAAAAAAAAAAAAGGGAGAGCCTGCAAGTGCCTCATCCCTCTCCATGTGAAGTGTTGCCTAATCTTCCCTGCTGTTTTGGGGATCAGCTGGGTCTTGACACCAGTGGTTGCAGGTGAGCTGAATCACATCAGGCCCCTGATCAATTTGAAAAGAGCAAAGCCAAAGTTATCAGGGTAACTGGAGACAGAAGTTTACAAATATTTGAAATACTGTCAACACTGTAATTTGTGCCTAAGTGCTGAAAATCATCTCTCTCTTCTGATTCCCAGTGATCCAGCTTCCAGTCAGGTTGTCTCTGTTACATCTCTAAGAGAGAGGGGCTGCAGGGAAGACACAATACAACACTCCTCCATGTGATCAAACTGTTGCTTTTCAATTTAAAAAAAAAAAACAACAAAAAAAACAAAAACAAAAACCACGAAATCCTAAATGTAAAACCTGCCTTCTACAGTTTCCTTCTTTTCCTGAACAGTCAAGGGACAAATAGCAAAAATTAACCAAGCAGGTATCTTGCAGCTCCAGCCAGGTAAAGGGTTTCAGCTGTAGCAGCTGCTGCTTTTGCTCGTTGCTTCTCATGGTGACCAACACAAATCCCTGGCAGGGAGGGGACATGAAGCCACACAAAATACCTCCAATCAGCTGTGCCCATCCTCCCACCAGATGCAGGCCTGGTGTCCATCAGCGCTCACCTCTCAGGCAAGTGGAAATAGGAACCTGTAGATTATGGTTGGTTTAGTGTCCTGCTTTAAAAAAAAAATAAAAAAAAAATAATGATTTCCAGGATGCTAATTATGGACCTGAAAAATAAGGTACCCAAATGAAACACGGAGCCATGTCTAAGGCTGGCACAAATCAGGGTTTCGGGTTATTAAGCAATTGGATTGTGCCCTTAATCTAAGCAGTCTCAGAGACATAAGTAACAAGATTCACATGGATTAAAAATAATGGTTACTGCTGTGCCTGCCAAGCCCGAGCTCAGACAGAGCCGATGGAGGTGGAGAATATAATTTCCCTTCCTTACTGATGCTGGCTACATCACCTCGGTCTTACACCCCTCCTTTCAAGTCAAGATAGTCATCTTTGATTAGATGATGATAAATATTCACACACTGTGTAGAACTGTGGTGACACTTCCTCTTAACACCACAAGAGCTGCTGCTGGGACTGTCAAGCCACCTCTCAATTTTTCCTTTCAGTTTTGGATGCAAACACATTTCCAATGTCCTGCACCAAAACCCGAGTCTGTCTGGAGATGGCACCTGCTTCTCCTTCTCAACAGAGAAACAGGGGACCACAGAGCTAAACCCTCAGAAATCTTCAGCTTATACTTTTATGGAGATTTCAAGTCAACAAAAAAATGCAGATAACAAGGAATGTAGGAGTAGAAAGGGAACTCGATCACTTTTTGACTTTTTTTTGTCTCTAAATCTCACCCTCCCCACGCAGTGGCATTTGCCAGCCCCGTCGCCACGTCCGAGGGGAGTCTGCATGGAACCACTTTTTAAAATTCCTTTGACCCAAAAGAAAGAAAACTCCTGCTGTGCTTGTATGAATGCATGGAGACAAAGCTCAAAAACCTCAGCAGCTTCCAACCCTCAAGGCTGTTTTTTCTGTGTACACCGGGAAATTCTCCCTCTAGCTCACAAGATTTCTTTTCAATTTTTCTGGAAAACTGGCTGAATATAATCCAAGTGCAAAATATTTCAGCTAGTGCATGGAAACATGGTTTGAAGGGACCAGTTCATACCATAGTCCTTAAGCATTTCTGTAGATGGAGTGGGGAATCACTCTTCCAATTAGCCATAGGCCTTTAAGTGTACACCAAAAATCCCACAGAAAATCACCTTGAATGGGCAAACTACACTTCCAACATATTTATATAGCAAGTAGTTAGTAAAAGTGTACATTTTTAATGTACATCTTAATGCAATAAAGAATCAATGGCATATCTGAACTGTATATATGTGTACTTAAATAAACCTGCATGTACATAGACACTACAGAGTAAATTGACCTACCTGTATTTGTTCTCTGAAGGTGGCACTGCCCATACACCCCCTAAGGCCACACGACTCACAGATCTGCTTTCCAGCTCTAGCCCCACCCAGATTCTCCCATCACCTGTGATATTTTAGGGTGTGCAGGATTGCACCCATGAAGGCGAACCCCTGGGGCTCTGGCAGTGCAGCCACCCCCAAGGGGAGCAGTGGGGATGAGCCAACACAAAGCCAAGGTGGGATGGCTGCTGGTCACACCTCCAACCATGCCATGACCATCAGTAGTGCTTCTAAAGAGACATTTAGGGAGCCTGGTGCCACAGCAGGGTGCTCTGGGTCGGTGCCACCCCTGCTCAGAGCATGGTGGGGATGGTCCATCTCACCGCTACGGGATGGGCACAGTGTGAGTGGGTGCATCCAAAACATCACCCCGGCTCTCTGGGGTGCAGGTCACCTCCATCTGAAGCAGATGGTCGCACTTGGCCATGAGGATCATCCCCTGTGTGCCAGGGAGCCCCACGAACTCAGGCACAGGCACCCAGCATGTCCCGCCGGGCGAGGGGAAGCCCCTCTGCCAAAGCACTGAGCAGATACAGCTCCTTCCAGCAGCTGAGCAAGGCAGCCTCAAAGAGGGGACAAAGAAAGAATTGCAAAAGCAAGGGCAATTAAAGGTAGAAATCAGACACCATCTTTGGAAGAGGTTCTGAAAGAGCTTTTTTGTTTTTAAACCAGATTTTTTGTAAATCTCTGGATCTGATCCTTCAGGGTTTGCTACCCACCCTCCTAATAAATATCATTTACCACTAACAATGAAGTCTCCCACATTAAAAAGCTCTCACTAAATAAAAAACTTCTACTGAAAAAGCTTGGCTGAGTTGGCTTGGCAAAAATAAGGAGCTATGACTACTCTCTATAAATACATCAGCGGATAAACACCGAAACTATTTAAGTTAAAGGACAATGTTGGCTCCAAAACAAACCAGCAATGAACCAGCCACGAATTAATTCAAACTAGAAATTTAAATAAAGTTTCTAACCACTCAAAGGCAGTGAAGTTCTGGAAGAGCCTTCCAAGAGCAAAAGTGAAGGCAAGACATGGAACCAATTTGGAGCTGGGATTTGATTAGTTTGTGACAGAATGGTCTGACACAGCATTTGGCTGGACTATCCAGCTCAAGAGTTTCCCTTCTAGGCCTTGTTTTCTATTAGCAAAGGATATTTAAAAAAAAAAACCTTCAAGCAGTTGCATCACACAGCAACCACCCAGGACAACACACATTAAAAATGTACAGGTACCAGGCAGCAGGCAGGTTAACTGGGAAATTTTGCCAGAAACATTGCACATGGCCTGGAAAAAGGAACAAAAAAAAAAAAAAAAAAAAAAAAAAAGAAAAGAAAAAAAAAAAGACTGGAACAAACACTTGAAGTCACCAGCAGTGCTCCAGGAGGATCTGCCATGTAGGGCTGCAAGAAGGAAACTTCCTGACTGCAGCAGAGCTGCTGCCTCACCATCCCTTGGAGACAAAAATGACTTGAACCACTCACAGCCACGCTGCGATTCCCTGTGTTTGTTCTCTGAAGAACAGCCTGTTCTCTCTGAACAATGAAAAGGATTCCAGGTCAGGATGCAAAAATTACTATGTGCTAGTTCTCAGTGATTAAAGAGAGACTTGGAGATTTAATAGCCTGCTACAGTCAGTCTCCAGGAACACAGGGGAAAGTGTTCTAGCCAGCAAGGGACAAAATGACACCAAACTCCTGGGCTGCCTGGGTCTGGGAACCTGCTATTTATCAGAACAAGGCTGACTCTAACCTCATCTGTAGGGATTAAGAATCTTGCTCAACTTAAATTCAAGACTGGTAGTTTTCTTCTCAGATCCCTCTCCTAACACACGCATTTGTTTGCCCACAAAGCCCTTCACTGCCAGGACCAGAAGGGGCAGAGAGGATATATGCAGCCATGCCAACCTTTAGAGAACAAACACCTTAATGGACAGATGAAAAAAAAAAAAAGAAACAAGAAACAAGTACTATGCCATGATAGTCCATATCTAAGCAACGACCTTGTATACACAATGTCTGAGATTCGTTATGCTTGTATAGGCAGCTGTAGGCATCGGTATATGAATATGAAATCTGAAAGTCTGTCACTGGAAAGCAAACAGGAGCATCCTATTTCCCGGGTGTGAGCCGAGCCCCCGCCTCGGGCAGCCCTCGGCCGAGTCCCCGGCTGGGCCATGAGAGCTCGGCACCGAGGGCCCAGTCTGTGCACGTGCTGTCTCGTGTGCTGTGCCCAAAGGTCTCATTTATGGCAGTGCTTCATCACCACGTCCTGCTCCCCAGGTTTGGATCAGGCCGGCCCATGGGTTGCTTAAAGATCACAAATTTCTTCTCGAGGGTAAGAGCGGATCCTCCAGGGCTGGTGGTTTCAGTTCACTCTGTTTCTGAAAAAGAACAGAGGTGTCAGATGCTCCAGCCCGCTGCGAGGGCCTGTGACCCAGGTGGGATGCTGGGTGGGGAGGAAGGGGGGCAGAAGTGCCTCAGGATGGGCAAAATTGGGAGCCTTGACAGAGTCAGCTGCAGAAAAGGACAGCCCCACTCAGAGGGGCCAGGAAACACAAAATCCTGTGGAAGTGGAGCTGGCAGGGCTAAGGAGGGATGCAGCCTGCAGCAGCCCAAAGCTGTGCACACCCTTGCTGAGCACCTCCTGCCTCTGTGCCATGAGGGATGACGGGACCACCTCACTCTGGGTGGCATAAAGCCATGCCCAGAGGGTGCTTGCAGGGGCACCTCCCCGGCACAGGTACAAAAGCTGGCCCACCACCCGTCCCCAAACCCACAGTTCCCTAGCAAAGCACATGGGGTGGTGATGCACAGCCAGACCCAGCAGCTGCAGGAAGGGCAGGGCCCTCCGAAACCCACGATCCACCTCCTCCAAATTAGATGGAGAAGGGAAGCCACGAATTTTACCTGATTTTTACAAATTTTTTTCTAAGGCCTGCAGCCATGGCAGAGCCTCAAAGCAAGGCAGTGAGGTCAGACAAGATCCCAGCTGACCAGCAAGGGGCTGCATGTGTGGACCATGGTGGGATGGGGCCAGCACTTGGCCATCCTCATCTGGTGAGAACTTTGCCAGGGAGGAAATGGCCCCCAGCTGCACTACGGAAGAGCCCACAGAGGGCTTGGAAAGCACCTCTTCTCCACACACACGCCTTCCAAAAGTGAGTCCTGGAGAAGGGGTAGGGCCAGCAGCTGGGAGCACCAGCCCTCCATGTTCTCTCCCCTCTTGCACCCTCCACCTTCACTACCCGAGCCTTGCTCCGTGCCAACAAGGATGCTCACACCTGAGGAGTTGGTAGCGGGAGAGGGAAGGGCAAGTAGGGGTTCTGTCTGCTGCCCAAGCCCAGGTGGGGGTATGGAAGGAGCTAGTGGCATGGGACAAGTAGCCAGGCCCCTTCCTTCCCAAATCCCCTTCATAAATCCACGGGTCACTTTCCCACAGGGCAGGTAAAAGGACCAGACACTCCTGTTGTTTTACTTAGGCTTGAGAAAAAGCCAAGATTTGGTTTCTGAGCGGTGTCAGCACCCAGTGACCGAGGCAGAAAGGGGCAGGCAGGCAGTGGCACTTACGTCACCCCGCCTGACCCTCCTCATCCTCCTTCCTTTCCCCCCTTCTTTCACAGGAGAGCTCCTCACCGCTTCCTCAGTTAAATCTCAAACACTAAACCCTTCCCTGAAGCCTGTTTCCCAAGTGGGAGAGGTCCAGTGCCCCACGGCCACCCCATTCCCCCACGGAGCCAGCCCTGCCGAGGCAGGGGCCTTACCCAGCCGCGTGGCGGGCGGCGGGCCGGGGGCGTCGGGGGTCCCTGCGCTGCCCTCCGGCCCGACCGGCTCCCACGCCTCGCTGCTCTCCGACGCCTCCGCGCCGGCTTCGCTCGGCCCTTTGCGGCTCCCCGCGGCCCTGCCGGCACAGGCCTCCTCCGAGCCAGAGCCCCTGCCTTCCTCCTCTGCCTTCATGGCAAACCACACCTTGAGCTGCTGGGCGCCGAGGCGGGAGCGCTCGCACAGGCCGGGCACGTCCTCCTCCCGCAGCCCCTTGTGCTTCTCGTAGTAGTCCTCCAGCACCTCCCTGCTGGCAGGGCTGACCTCCACCAGCCCCGGGGGGAAGACCCCCCGCCGGTAGTTCTCATACCACTTGAGCTGCCCGTTCTTGTAGCCGTACCGGCTGTCCCCGAACCAGCGAATGACCTCGGCCCGCGGCAGGCCCGTCTGGGACACGATGGCGTCATACTCCTGGTTCGTGGGACGCTGGGTCTGCACGAACATTTGCTTCAGCAGATGCCGCTGCTGGGCCGTTTTTTTGAAGTTCAGTTTGGTTTTGGGAGGGGTGGGCGGCCGGCTGGAGCTGCCTTCCCCCTTCTCGTTTGCGCCGGTCCCCGGTACCTCGTTTTTGCCGTTGGACTCGGTCACTCGCAGGTTCTTCAGGTTGATTTTGATGGGACTCACCTTCCGCTCTGCTGAGTTCATGTTGTTGCCGGAGGCGTCGACTGAGCCGTTTTCACTCGCAGCCCTCTGCTCATCCGAGGAGTCCTCCCCTTCCCCGCCGCCATTCTCTGCCTCCTCCTCTTCCTGCTGAGTCGCCTCTTCCACTTTCTTGTTTTCCTCCGCCACCTTCTTCTTCCTCCTCTCCGAGAACCAGCTGTCGATTTCCCTCCGTGTCATCTTTGTTTCCCCCCTCAGGCGGTTCACCTCTTCCTCTGCAGGAAGAGGATTTTGGGCAAAACTGCTCTCTAGGGCCTTCAGCTGCTCCGGTGCCCGCTCCTTGTATTTGGTTGGGGTGAAGTCGGGCGCCTGGTGCCACAACTGCCGTCGCGGCGGGTGCTGAGGGGCCGGCGTGGCAGCCGCCGCCGCGGGGCTCAGCTCAGCTCCTCTGGGCGGGACATCGAAGGTGATTTCGGGCAGAGAATCAAGAGCACTGTCTCCAGGGAAGACGGCCCGGCCGCCTCTCACGTTCCTGTAGTGGTACCTCCTATCGCTGAACCATTTTCGAATCTCCTTGGTGGACAAGCCCGTGATCTTTGTCAGCCGCTCCACTTCAGCCTGACCAGGGAACTGGTTTCTGCAGAAGCTGCCTTTAAGGGCTGAGAGCTGCTCGTGGGACTTCTTGTTTTTGTAGACATTGGGATCCAGGAAGGTCTGCGAGGAGATGGCAGGGCAGGCGGTGAGCAGCGACTGGGCGCTGTTGACCACCTTCACCCCCGAGGCGCTGCTGGAGCTCACGGTGCTGTGCTGAGCCGCCGGCTGCGGCTTGGGGACAGAAGTCACTGCCAAGGTGAAGGAGGAGCTGGTGCCCTTCAACCCATTTGCCATGATGGGCTGCGTGACCAGCAGCCCCCCCGTCCCCTCTGGCTGCCCCACCACGTGGCCTGGTAACGTTGCCTGGATAAGATGGGGGACACTCCCGGGATTTGCAACCAGCGGGGTGTTCAAAACTGTAATGGTGGGTTGTGGCACGGACTGAATAACAGTGTTGAACATCTTCTTCCTGGCATCTTCGATCTCCTCCGGTGACCAGCTGATGCCCTGCTTCAGCCTCTGTGCAGTGAACCAGATCTTCAGCTGCTCTTCTGGGTACTTGGTCACCACAGTCAAGTAGCAGAGCTCAGCTTTGGTGGGATAGGGAAACTTGTGGAAAGAGTTTTTCAGGAAGCTGTTGGAGTCCATGGCGGCATTGTACGTTGGAATGCTGCTCAGGGGAATCATCACCTTGGGAAGGGACTTGGATGTAGGCAGCTGCTGATGCAACGGGGGTTGCTGCTGCAGCGACACAAGTTGTGCAACCCCTGCCTGCAGAACGGGCACGTTTCCTATGATGGAGCCATTCACTATGTGGGATGACTTTGTTGAACTTGCAGTGGGCTGATTGACTGGCACGGACCCGTTTGGGAACGAATGCTCCCCATCCTTCACCTCTGACTCACCGCCCAACTGACTTGACACACTCTCCTTCAGCGTGTGGATTTTTTTGGCCTCGGGTTTACCTTTCATTATCTTCATGATGGGGGTTTTGGTAATGATGATTTCAGACTGGCCGTCTGCCCCTTCTTCAGGAACCTCTCCCGGGAGGTCGTGGCTGCTGGTGGCCTCACAGAGACTCTGCTCCACGGTGGTACGGCCGTCCTGCTTAGCCACCCTCCAGACAAAGCCCGTCTCGCTGCCGTGCGACTCCGCGTTGTGGTGCGAGAGCCCCTCGTGGCTGTTGGCCAGGAAGCCGCACGGCACACACGCGAACGCGGGGTCTTTGCCGAAGTCCGAGTGCTCAGAGTCCAAGTGCCCGAAGAAATGATGAACGTCCTGGGATCCAAAGTCGCAAGACTTGCAGATGTAAGTGTCGCTGTCGGCAGCACCACGGTGCCCGTTGGACAAAGCTCCACTGCTGCTGTTACTGGCACCAGCATCGCTCGCCGCTGGCCCTTCCACGGGAGCCTCTTGTTGTGTTCCTTCATGATCATCTTCCACAGCGTCCTGCTCGGTCTCCTGAAGCACCAGTGTTTTCACTGGTATCATGCAGGGAGTTGTGGATTTCCTTTTGCTAGCCATCACGATGATTGATCCAGATGATTACTTTTTTTTCATTTAAATTAAATTCAAATTTAAAAAGCGCTATTGCAAGTGCTCTGCGGTCCGGATTCCAGCAGATTCATGATGTCAGAAGGAGCTGTTGTCAAATGTTGACAAATGTTCATATTTGCCACCGAACCTGAGGACAAGGAGAAGAAGGGGTTAGTTCCTCTGGCATTTGACAAAGCACAACTGTCCTGGTATTTAACTGTTTCCCTCAATAAATCATTTTTCAGCCACTTTTGCTTGAAAAATTTAACTTGACCTTGGATTTACTGTATTTTCACACCTACAGCCTGTGAATTACCTGTTTAAAAATAAACATGCCTCTTTTACAGCCTGCATCAAATTCTCATTTGAGGAGGAAAACCACTGAATTTTCCACTCACCCTGCCCTGCCATGACCTATCTTTGGTGTTTTGGCAGGGAGAGCAGTGCCCGGGCTCCCTGTGTGCCCGGGGTCCCAGCTCAGCCCCACACAGGAGGTGATACCAGGCAAGGGCACCTGGAAAAGCCGCCCGCTTTCCATCAGAAGAACCTAATGAAAAATCCACACATTCCCCACAGAACACTTCAATTTCTTCAAAATCAGCATTTTCCACCCATCCCGTCGGGAAGTTTCTTGCCAGCTCAAAGCACTGTGCCCGTGCCAAGAGCCTCTGCCTGCAGACACCGGAGCTCTGCTGCAGGGAGCGAGGGGGCTGCACACTGGAACACATCTTTTAGCTCTCCCTGCTCAGCAAGCCTGCAAAGCATTTGGGAGATTCCCTGCCCACCCTGTGCACACTTCATTACTGTTTCAACAGCATCTGTGAGTCTTCATCTGGAGCTGCAAGAGAAGGTAGAGGCTCCAAAACTCAAGGGCAGCATCACAATGTTCCTGGCTCCCAGCCTTCCCCTCCCACCACCTCTGCAGCTTTTGGCACTCACAGCACTCAATGCACTGGGGATATTCCCTAAGAAAGTGTAATTCCTTGTTAAGGCAAGCCCATCTTGCTGCACTTGGGGTGACCAGAGATTTAATACATTTAAAAAACAAACAAAACCCCAAACAAACAAACAAACAAATAGCAAAGGAATAATATTTTCTCTTTTGTTTTTGTTTGGTGTTCTTTTTTCCCTGAAACTAACTAAAGCAGATCCCAAACTGCTCCAGCCTGTGGAAGGCCAGGGCTGGCCAGGGCATTAGCCATGACCTTACTCCTGGCCTGATGTAGCCCCCACGTGTGCACAGTGAATGCTCTGTGCCTGAGATCATGACCCAAGGGCAGTAAAGCTGCTGTAGCTGGCACCAGGAATCACTTGCCTGGTGACACCCCTCTGTCAACCTTTTCTACAGCAACTCTGCTTTTTTTTTTTCTCTTAAACAGAGGGATAAAACAGTATTTTTCCAGACTGCAAGGTCACTTGGAAGCACATGGACACACTGATTCATACTACAAAGACTCCGTGCCAGATTTTTCTGGGATTTACAGTAACAGAGCTTTATAAAAACACTCATAAAAACTTGAACTCAAAAAAAAAAAAATTACTTACCATCCTAGGAGATGACTCACAGAGGTAACTCCTATCAGTTACACCAGTTGTGTACCAGTAGCTTTCTCAGATCAGCTATTTGGAGCTGATCTCATGCACTGAGAAATGCAGATCGGGCAAATGACTTGGTGGTGCTTATGCAATACCTCCTGTGCTTAGTTTTGTCAGTAGTTTTTAGAACAGAGGAATGAAAGGTCCTTATGAAAAAAAAAAAAAATCAAACGGAGGAAGTACAATTTGACCTCCCCAACTTTACTGGATTTTTTTTTTAAAAATTGTTCTGAAAGCTGGCATCATTTTCTCCAAATGGGAGAGCCTGGATGGCCAGCTCTGGCCTCAGCAACTCTCCAGCACCGTTTGAAAGACTGATGGGAAAACGCAACTTCCCGTCAATGTGGGCTGATCTGTCCTGTAAATAGTGTTAGTCATCACTGAACTTGGCATCAGAAAAGACTGCTTGCTATGCTAAAGCTTTGTGAAGGGCTAGAAATTACAACTTTTTTAAAAATATCTCTAAATAAAACAGGTATTAAAGCTGTGAGCTGGATTTAGACAGCGAGGACTGCACGTCTCAATACCTGCTTTATGCTGCTCTCATCCCACTTTCCTGTGGTTAGTCTTTCCCTCTGCAGAGGGCCAGAAAGTTATCCATTAGCATTAGCAAGTGGAATACTTGGATGACTATGAATGGGCTGTGCTATTCAGAGGGGAACAGCATCCATTTGACACCAATCCTGAGATCCTCATTTTTGATGCTAAGTTAAATATTACACAGTCTAGCAGGGTGCAGTGACCTTTCCAAGCCGAGTCAATTAAGGAAAAAACAATAAGACCAGCCTGAAAGCTACAAAATACAGCTGAGAGAAGTTCTATGTCAGGGAAGCCATGGTAAAAGAGAATTCTTATTTCATTTTATCCTGCAGCTTTGACACAGGGAGAGGCTGCTGGGCCCTCTGCAAGCTTTTTCCTTTCAAGCAAACTCCAGATAGAGATCCAGTTCCAGAGTCTCCATTACTGAGACAGCTCAAGTCCCAGACCGATCTTACCCAGTGTTTATGGAGTCACCAGATATCAAAAAAGATGATTTTTATCTGTCAGCAGAGTAAATTTGATACAGGGCACCAGCGATACACAAAGACCCCCATTGTGCCCCGTTAACAAAGTGCCTCTCCCGAGCACTCCACTGCTATTATTTTGAGTAAATGTGAACGGCCTGACCCACCTACAGAGAACCTAAAAGCTCTGCATTTCATTTACCAGCACATTTGCATCAAGCTCTGTGCTCCCTCCAACAACTTTCCTTAAAAATGCAATCAAAGCAGCCCCAGCCACCGCAGCTCTCCTGCGGGGCTCCAATATTAATGCCACCTGAGAACACAGATTGCAAATTTAGCTGGAAGTGAATCACAGTGGCAATTTACTGGAGAAAAAAAAAATTAATCAAGTGTACTGTTCGTCCATTTCATTTCCATGGAACAGTTGCATAACCACATGTTGGGAGTGTGTTTTATTCACTGCTCACCTTCTGGAATGCACTTAATACTTTAATACACCGCTAATACGTAACAGAATTGATAATTCACCTATTTCTTCACCATTAAAATAAGTGAGACTGTTTTAATGGATAGGGTAAATTAATGGGAGTAAAATTAATCAGTTGAAAAACATCTTTACAACTGATCTCAGTACATAAACCACCACTGCAGATGCCTCAGACCCATCTGCACAGCCATGAGTGAAGAACTCCATTTCCTATGTATTATTTTATGATTAACTGGAGCAATGAGCCATTAGCTACCTGGCAGCCAGGAAGACAGAGGGATTGTACTTAAATTCATGGTTCTTATTTCATTTATACCTGCTAATTTCATGGTGAGGTAGCAGAGTAAGCAGAGCAAATGACCAGCGCACCTAAACCTGTCACTGCTGTTGGAAATTTGAGGGAAGGCTGACTTAAAGCAGAGTCAAACCAATTCTCTGTGGTGCTCACCGAGAAACTAATGCTGGAAGGAAAGGTGGACCAAAGGCTATTTATTTTGGCCACATGCAATGCAGAAAATCACACCAGAGGAGGAAGATGGAAGCTGTGAAATCCATCATCCCAATCCATGAGAACAACACAGCACTTCTGCCAGAGACAGTCCTAAACCTACAGCACTGGTATGATCAACCCCCTCCTGTAACGCTCCCCAAAAAAAACCTCTTTCCTCCCAACACAGGAGCCCTCCCGTCCTCATGGGCAGCTCCAGGTACACACCACCAACCCTCTGCAGAGGAGCTTTGCCTCCACTGAGGGAAACAATGCCCAGACTGGTCACAGTGAGCTTTGCAATTGCAGAAAATTTACTTCTGCAGAGATTAACAAAGGGAGGTTTCGAAATCTGCACTGCTGAGTATGAACTTTCAGCTTTTTCCAGCTTGGCTGGATATAACTGGTTTGGTTTTAAATGTTTCACTGAATTAACGAGTTAGGTTGTTAATGCAAAACATTCCTTCCTCGCAGTGCCAAGGTCCCCAGTTAGAAGATTAATTTTTGTGACCTTTTGCAAACCTCGCCTAGAAACAACAACCAGAAAACCCACCAGGCAGCATCACCAGCCAGGACACAGCAGATCCAGTCCCACCACCTGGGCACAGGGATGCCAGGACAGCTGCCCTCCTCTGCCCCCAGCCCAGGCAGCTCCCGTGTGCCCAGGCTGACAGCAGGGACAAGGCTCCATGCAGACACAGGAGATGGCTCCGTGCTCTGCAGGTTCTGGTGCTCTGCTGAAGAGTGAATGCTCCATTAAAATAAAATGAAATTAATAAAAAATCATATTTTTAAAAAAATCAATACCAAAATAGAAGTAAAATAACAGTTTTCTCAACACTTTCAGTGCCTGCTAGGCAAGCAGACACGCTCCCCAGGTCAGAGACAAAGTTGATGTTTCTGTCTCATATGGAGCCAAGCACAATATTGGCACTTTAAATAAAAGCGGTTTGTTTTCAAGCTGAAACTCTGCAGGCCCCAGCTGATAGCATCATATGGGGGGGGGAAGATGAAAAAAATCAAAGGAGGAAAAAAAAAGTTGATGTTTCTGAGTTTTTGTCTCTCCCCTTCAGGCTCTACTTCCAGCCAGGCCCAGAAGATGCAGGGCTGTCTTTGGGAATTCCACAGATGACTTCCCAACTCCCACTGTAATTAGCAAAGCCATTAAATAAATTATCCCTGTGGCCAACACCAGCAACTGGATGCTCTCTGCAGCACCCAGACCAGAGGGCTGAGCTGCCTTCCCCTTCCCAGCACCAAGCATCCCACTGTGTGTCACAGCAGGTCCCCAGCCTGGCAGACACTCAGTTTGCCCTGGGCAGCACTGGGTGCATTTACCAGGGTGCTGGGGAGGGAAGGAAAAACAGCCCCATGGCCGCCCTATTGCCAGCCATGGCAGGCCTGGGACTCTTCCTCTTTGGCTGGGCATTAACATTCATCCTCCATTTGGAGTCTGTTCATGAGAAGTCATGTAGGAGCTTCACCAGTTTGATTAACTTATTGCCAAAACACGCCCAGTGGGGGCTATTGCCAATCCATTGCAGGGGCACACTGTGTGGATAGACGTGCTCTGG